AAGTAAGAAAGCTCTAGTCGAGACTGCCCGACTATAAACACGCATTGGCTACATTACACTGCAGTGGTGGCTTGGTATGGGATATTAATTGTTTAATAACTTTTCTTATGGGACCATCTTCATGAAACTTTTAAATTATGATTAAAACATGAATATGCATGCATGTGCACAAGTTTCTAGTATTTGAAATACGTTTTCTACAAAGGAGAGGGTGAGGGGGTGAATATAGAGGTGAAGAGTAAATTTTAACAAAAATCAAAATTCTATAAAGTACATATGAATCTATATTTACTCTAGATCTAAAGATGTAGCAGATATACATTTTTTACTGGTTTTCGATAATGTTTCTAATCGATAACAAAATAACAGGGCAAAGCAAAACTTGATATGCGCGTGGTACACACGGACCTAGGAAAAAAGTTAAGTCTCTCTTACATCTTCTGAGATCGAAGGAAGGACAGACGGACAAAACTAAATCGACTCAGCTCGTCGCCCTGATCAAGAATATACATATGTTTATGCTTTATGGTGTCTGCCACGTCTCCTTCTGCCTGTTACCTACTTTTAACAAAACCATTATACCATTTTCAATGGGTTCATGTAACAAGATTCGAACCCTGAATCCTAAGTTGGAAAACTACAGTTAGAGAATGGAGCTATTCAATAATTTGTTCGCTATATTCTCACTTTGTGAATAAATTGATGTCTTAAAGTATCTAAAAAGATGAAGAATCTTTCCAATTTAAATATAATACAAATTTGTATTACGCGAATATCGCAAATGAAATCTACTGAAAAGATTTCCAATTTATTGATCAAATACGGCTGTTCTTATTCGATTCCCCATTTATACTATTTAAACGTTGCAGTCGGGCATTACTGCGGAATACTCATTCACATCCCATCAGCAATTTAGCAGCTAAGTTTCGCTCTAATACTGAAAAAAAATTCAGTTTTTTCCCGACTTTCCACACTTCTACTAGGCGTAGACACTTCATTTTTGATCAGTTCTTAGAACAAGCTAACGGTACCCTAATTGCAAAATTTGAATGCTTACGCTCAAAAATTTTAGAATTACAGGGTATTTTTCGATATGCCACGATAGAGGAGGTTACTAATAGCTTAACTTAAATTTGAAGCTTCTGGCTATTATACTTTAGGAGATATTAACATTTGCGGTTTGCCACGCCCCCTGTGGACGGACATATACCCGACAAAACTTTTTGGTCTTGGGTGGTCAGTCCGAGTATATATGAAAAATTTGAGGTCTCTGGCATCAATAGTGCCTAAAATATAGCAGAATTAAAAAATCATCATGGGAGTAGATATATCCGCTCGTGATCTTGGGTGGTCGATGCGGATCTATATTCTAAATTTTAGCTTTCTAGCTCTTCAATTCTGGCATATCGGAAAATATTTTTTCCTATTTGCCACGCCCCTAGTGAACGGATCGGAAAAGTTTTAACACTTTTTAAATCGGAGATATACACGAGTATATGTTCCAAATTTCAAGACTCTAGCTTGAATAGCGCCGAAATAGATTGCGTTCATACGGTCAGACGGACAGACGGACGGATAGCAAGACGGACATTGCACAAAACCAATATACTAATTCACTTTCGTGAATGAGTATAATTATAGTATTATTGCTAGCCATTAAATCCGGCTGATCTGTGCTGAAACAGCACAAATAACTTGTAAGGTCTTGGAAACAGTTAGCCCCATCTATGTACTTCTGCTAGAATGACTTACACTGGGAAGTTGTTGGTCATGGTTGCGAAAAAGTTGAAGCTGCAGCAGATGCCCTGTATGGTGACGATGCGCTGAAACAGACTCTCGCAGCGCGTCTTGATGCCCTTCCAAATGCAGCGGGAAATCATGTCTAGACAATCGGGAGACAGGCGATTCATCAGTTCCGTAAGCGTAATATTATTCAATCTCAGTATTCTATCGTAGATTTCCAGTGAACTATTGTTAACTGTGCGGCCGGCGGGAAATAAAGTTAGATTAAAGAGCTCTTGTAGCTCCCCTTTGGTTACATTCGGCGGCAACTGCCTGAAGAATTTCGGAATAATAAATATATTGGATTTTTTGGCTAAAGATTCTTCTGTGCCACTCACATGTGCTCCATCAGCATTAACGCTTTCGTTTTGGACACCCTGTTGAAGTTGCATATGGTTACTGCTGGAAAGGGTATATTCCAGGTGGGAAAGTGCGAGCTCTCGATGACAGTCACCGTGGGTGTCTTACGATTCGAGTACCAGGAGGTAAGCACCAGGGATACGGCACTAATGATAGCTGCTATGACGACGCCGAGCCAAAAGCAACGCTCGTTTCGGCTGATATCCGGCCGTGTAATATAGCTGAAGCCGTGCAGTGAGGTGGTCTGGCAAAAATTACGCAAACTTTCCCTAAACCAAATTCGTATCTCTCGAAAGTGATAGATTCTCCATTGCTTGGACGTTTTCTCGATGTTGTTTATGCTGCTGCTTTTATGGTGCTCGGTCGGTTTGCTCTGCAGTTGTTGCGACTGAACCAATTGCATATCGAAGATGCGTCGCTTCTTGAAGGCCATGGTGACCAGCAGGAGGTGCTTCGGGCAACTGACTGAACGGACTCTATGTATTGAAGGCTGGCTAATTGGCTTGTGCTAATTAGCCTTCGTGCCATTAGCTCGCTGCTGACGACGTCGCCTGTAGCGTATTTGCTGCCGAGTTAGCCAGTTACAAGTGGGTCGCACACACACAAAGAATATCAGCTCGAACACAGATACGAAACTACAGCCCATAAATAGGCCGGTGATGCCGCCAAAGGTACCTGTCACAAAGCAATTGATAGGTTGTTTATTAAATATAGGTCTTAATGGTCGTTAGCCACAGTACAACTTCGCTACAACGAACAAGCTTTAGGGTATTTCCTTCGAGCTGAATTTTATAAAGCTTTTCCAAATTATCTCTTATATGAATGTTTTATTTTACCTATAATAAGTCCTTACTGCAGTTTGGGAAGAGGATACTCGGAGTTTTCAATAAATATATCTATATATCTGAAACCTCTCTCTTCAGGCATCTTCAAAATGATTTGTATATTACGAGTCGACTTCAGTTATCATAATAAAAGAGTATGAAATAAATTGTTTTCAATACTCTTCCTTAAATATAAACTCATTTTATTTGGATTCAATGCCTATAGATAGGTGTATACAATATTAAATAATAATAGCTTAGAGAACTGTTAAATGAATAAGGGATCTCAACTTGTCTGTATCCGACTTTTTACTTTATTTAATATGCCATTAAGATCTGACTTTGTATATAAATACTACATAAATGTTTCGGTCTTAATGTATCAGAGTTTTCTATATAGTTGCTCAATCGTACTTACCTATAAAAGTCAGAAAATTCTCATAGACATCCAAACGCACTCGCTCCTCGTTAAATGAATCAAAGTATACGTGTAGTAGGACCTCGTCCGAACCATTAAAGTTCTTGCTGCCATAAAGTAATTATAGATGTAAATAAAGATATCAGTTTAGCTCCTCACTACAAACATCAAACTTACTAGAAGGAAATATTATAATGATTAGCTTGAAACATCGGGTAACTCTCATTGAGGGCTGCCAGATCGATTTGCATTTCATAGCGCTTGAATTGGCAGGACGGCAGGCAATTACAGAAGCGTTGTAGCTGATCCCAGCTGAAAGCTAGAGAAAATATAATTAAATTAAAGCAAAATTTAGCAGGTAAATGCGAATTCTATATTTATCAATTTAAAAAAAAAAACAATTATTTAAAAAATATCCATTTTCTACTTTGAATTGTGAAATAATTTAATCTATTCAATTAAAAGATTATTCATTTTCAAAAAGCTGTCAACTATTAAGAAGTTATTTTCTTGGTGTACATCTTAGTTGATCAATCAATGAATGGGGAACTATGGTCTAGTCGTTAGAAGTCCATGGGAATATATTCGATAGTATGCTAACGAATTAAGAGTCTATTCACTTTTAATTTGTTCACTATAAGATCAGCTCCTACACTAGCTCCTTCAGCTTAATTATAAGAAATGTAATAATTATATATTGTATAAATAGAATCTTATACAAATACAAATCAATAGTTCAATAGGACTAGTCTATTTCATGAGCAGATACATAGTTCAACAGCTTATGAACTAGCAATGAACACGTTCTTCAATTTTCTATATGTTTTCTGCTCTTCTATACTCTATACTCTCTTCTTCTTCTGCCTTCTGTTAAATATTGTTTTCATTTCTTATTTTCTGCTCCCTCCACTTTTCGTCTCACCGCCTTCCCTTTCGGTTCTTCCCTTTTCTTACCATATCTTCCCCGTTCTGTTTAATTCCATGAGTGGAACAACTTACCGACTTCGCTCAGGCATTTCAGTTGTTCCAGTTGACAAAGAGGCCATTGCGGAAGCTTCGGCATGTGGGGATGCACACAGCTGCAAACTTTAAGGATCCGCTCGCTCTCGCACTCTGCTAGGCAATTCGCTTGGCTGTATTTTGGATAGTAGAATAGCAGGCGCTCCTGGCTCAAATAGCAGCCTCTTTTGGCTGGCTTTAAGCCGTCAATATAGGGCGTGGCATGGGTATTGTAAGACCTCAACATGACGTGAGCCTCTGTGCCTCGTGGAAGGAGCGCACGTTCTGTGGCTGCATGAATGCCAGACTGGGCCTCGTGCAGCAGCAACTGGAAACCAGCTGCGGAATGTCGTGAGCTGGCATAATCCTCTAGCTGGCTGGCAAGGCGTAGGGTTAAGCCCTTGGCCGGATTGCCAGCTGTCTGGATGGGTGTTCCGTTGAAGGTGCAACATCGACCCTCAGAGTAGCTCCAGCTGGGGGTGAGCAGCCGATCGCAGCTTTGAACTAGGCCCTGCCACAGGCAGCCCAGGACCTGAGACTCACAAGTCCGTGGAGCCAGGTTCTCCAGCAGCTGAGACCAGCTAATGTTGCCAGATATCCCTACATGCTCATTCCGACTCCAATTGCGCTTAGTTAACCAGGGCAGAGACTGTGGCGGCAAAGTATACTCCTTCATCCTGAGCTGACTTTTCGATATGCGATTCATACTACATATGCTCAACGCCGGGTAGCTCATCGACTGCTCCGAAATAGGCTGCAACATGCTCTCGATATACCTTATGGTGGGCGTCTCCGCGGAGAGGCTATAGGACATGATCAGTACGAGGAGGGAGAGAAGTATGGCCGTGCAGATGAGCAGCCACCAGAGCACACGCTGCCAGGTGCAAGCCCCGACGAATACATGGAATCCATGGATGCTCGACATCTCGCAGTAGATCTCGAAGCCCGTCTTCGATTTGCAGAGGCCGTCGTCATGGCGGGCACGCAGGAAGTTTAGAAATCTGGGCAATGGCAGCTGCTCCAGACGCTTGGAAAATCTCGCACGTTGCGTGCGCCAATATCGCAGGAACTTAAGTCTCTGCAGTATCTTGTGGAACTGCTCACATCGGGTTTGAGGTCTTTCCGGCCTATCGAAGCACTGAAGCGGCATTATCTTGTGCGGTCGCTTGGGTCGCAGATAGGCCTCAAAGTTGATTAGATAGATGGGCTGGGGAGCATCTTTAGCTGGGGTAGTTGGCATTTTGTTTAGTGTTGTTTTTCCAGTTGAATAAGTGATTATATACTTGAACCTGTTAAAGATTATATAATATATTTGACCTATATCAATAGGTATATTATTATTATATTATAAGATATATTTAAAACATATACTATGCTGTATATACTATATATCGAATATATTGTGGAGGAGATGATACGATGTCACTAAAAAGTCAGAAGGAGTTATTGCTGAAGTAGTAATTGTTAAAATCAATATTGCAAATTTAGGAATATCAAAAGGTGGAAAACAAAATTAAGTTTATTACAAAACCTATTATATTACGACTACATATATATATTTAAAAAGATCTTTATAATTTGCAAATATGGGAAATTATAGTTTTACATACAGACTTTAGATTTGTTTGCTCTCTACAAATATAAATATATTCAACATTATTTGATCAGAACTTACGTGATTAACAAAGTTTACCCAAAATAATGTTTATAAGATATTCGATTCACTTTCTCAAACAAATAATTTAACTATTTTAACATCTTACATATTCTATATGTCTTATATATTGGTTTGGAATATAACCTTTTTGGAGTTTCGTTTCACTTGCACCAACCATCTATTCTCGAGTAGCCGAAATTCATTTGCTTTATATGCTTTATAAGTCGTGTATCCCCAAAATCATTAGCGTTACGCCCACTCGTTGGTCAATCGAGCTCGACACGCCCTTCAGCTGTTGAGCATGGCGCTATCAGGCTTTGCTGCTGCTTGATTAGCTCTATCAGCCTCAATATATACCTTCTCACCTTCACACCTGTGAGAATGATTGTAAACAATAGAAAAAAAAAAAAAAAAAAACAATTAAGCATTTGTTTATATGTATGGAAGTAGCTACTGAGAGTACCCAAGCGATAAGCATGATAAATAAATAATAATAGGAAATTGTTTACAGAAAAATATTGCTTCCTATTCCTAAAGAACAGTTGAACACAGCAGATACTGTTATTATTATTGTTATTATTGTTATTGTTGTTATGCATTGCTTAGCTAATGAGTTTATTGTTGCTTTTGTTGTGATTGCTGTTTGCGTAGTGTACATACCCACCCAGTTACCCACTCACCCACCCACACACAACAAGACATCCACACAGTAAGCATGGCTCTCTTTCACCCACTCTTTCTCTCTATTTCTCTTTCTCTCTTGATAAGAAATAAGTTGACATCCTATTAAATATTCAGCACAAGTCACACTGTTCTGTTGCCCTGTAGCCCTGATAGATATATACAAGTATATAGTATACAGCTAGGTATATGCATATGTATATGTATATGTACTCCCCAAATACAGATACATCAAAGTCACGCGCAAATTGGGCGATAGAATTGGATATGGTTTGGTCTATGGCTATTATGGCTATGGGAAGGTGATTCATTAACGGTTGGTCATGCGATATCCACATAGTGTAATATGTATGTCTGTATACATGTATCACTAATCCATATCTATACGAGCAGGGATTTCTATTTAATTTAACTTCTAAGAATTACTTTTACTAGAATACAAAATTTAGCTTCAGAGAATTACTTTTACTAGTATACAAAATTTTGACAGTTACAATTGATAAATGAGAATAGTTGATAGTTAAACCAATTTTATGACAAAAGTTATTTACTCCCGTTATTCTTTTCAAACTGCAACTCCCAACAAACAACATTGAAAGCCTGGTACAATCGATCGGAAAGTACTTAAGGTACAATCACCTTACATTATATTTTTAATATAGAACAAAGATTCTCAATGCTTAATAAATATTTCAGGACGCAGGCTATGTATATTTGCTATAGAGGACCTTGAGCATTCCTGTCAAGTTTAAATTTTTGGAATCCGATATATTAATT